TCCCTCCATAATTGCCTTGGTATAGAAAGGCATAACATCCTCGATGCTGACGTCGAGATGATGACGGGCTGGGTCAAAATCATCAACGACAACACTACGGGGGATATCATAATGGGCTTTGATGTTTGTTATTTGCTGAGAGCCATTAACTGTCCATTTCCTCGACCTTGAGGTCCTAGCCACTTGGGCCTTAGCCACAGGTTGACGTCTCGGCATCTCAAACAGAAAGAAGGTGAAGTTCAAAGGGTTCTTTCTTTAAAAAAGGAATCCTAAGGGACACTAGAAAATACGAAGCGATGAAGGAGAAGTCTAAGGGACTAATCCTAGGGCCTAGTCTCTTAGAACTAAGACGATGGGGACCTAGAAGGTGGCCAGTGGTTGAAAAAAACCAAAAAAGGAACGAAGACTCACCGGAAACTACTGGGAAGGTGAACTGAGGGATTGAAGAAGCTTGGGAATGCTTTTTCTTCTTCGATAATGGAAGAAAAATGGGTTGTGGCTCTTCAGGAAGCAAGACTCCGATGTTTCTCCGACCAGAAGATCTCTGAAGAAGACTCAAGATTTTGAAAAGTGAAGAATGGGGGGGAAGCTTTGTTTATATAGGCCCTGCCCCCCATCATTGTGCATGAAACACAATGACAAGTGCATTCAATGCGCACGATCTTCAAAAGGCAAAAAACGGCTAGAGCAATGACAGGGCAGTTAAGCCCTTTCACCTTCCAAACGACGCTTGTCTTTTTCGTACGAAGATCAAGGGGCTGGGGACAGTTGATGGGACACTTCTAGGAGGCTATTGGATTGACGACACGTGTCCTCTGTGCCAAGGCACATATTTGCCTCTGACGAATCCATGTGTCTCGATGTCGAGGAACCTCTTTGTACTGCCAAAGCCATGTGCCCTCGACACCAAGTCCCCTCTGCTCTATGGACATGTTCCTCAGCGCCAAAGCATATGCCTTCCCACCCGAGTGGAAATAGGTGTCCTCGGCCCCGGGGATGCTCTCATCATGCCTACCCCAAGTCTTCAGCTTCTAGCGAGGGTACTGATTGACAACTAAACAATCTAAACTAGACTAGGAGTCAGGAGGGCACTCTGCACAATGGAGTCAGAATGGTAGGGTGGACTAGACACTCAACCAGAGAGAACTAGACGTGTGGCTTAAAGTACAGGACGAAGGGTAAGAAGACCGATCTACCCCTGCTAATAAGCGGTTGTTCTAGATAAGCATTTAATGAATCCCCAAATGATGTGACATCCACAGTGGCTTGAGAAGCCAAGGATAGGGGTATTAAAATGCCCTGGACCCTTGCATTTAAAGTCTTTACATCGAAGAAAGAGCATTAACTGCTCGGGAGCCCGAACAATTAATACTGGGACATTCTCCACGCAAAATAGGGGGCACACTACCCCGTTTCTAGACACTACCTACGGACTAGACTGTCAGCAATGATTAGTCTTTGAAGGTATAAATAGCCCTCAAAAATATATTGCAAAGGTACGCAAAATCATCTCACAAGAGCTATACACAGTGTTTTCCTCTCCCTCTCTCTCAAAGAACTAACTTGATCGTCAGAAAGGATACGCTAGAGAATACTCTGGCGCCCTTCTAACTTGTTTGTTGTGTTCCAAGAACCTCGTGCAGTCCATCGGAACCAGTCAGGCACCCCCTGAGATAATTCATCACCATTCCTTAGACCCCCTTTAGCCCTCTCAACTCATTCCTTATTGCCGGATCAACTACCTCGATGGACCTAAGTTCACCAAGGAAGAGATTTGTTCCCATTTTCAACTATTGTGTGAAAATCATCCCGCACAATCATCTATCCCTAAATTATTCGTCTAATTTGCCAAGAAATCTCTTATTGCTTGATTGTCTGGTTTGACAATAACTGTTTCAAGGACCATATTGATAGGATTTTCATTGTCATTGACGCCTTATAAGGGTGGTAATGCATTACATCTACATATAATTGTAGAGACTTCAATATAAACTAAACCACTTGGAAAAAAAACATGGCAAAAGCAACCATTCCAGCACCAGAAAGAGATGAAAATGCCATTTATAAATTTAGGATCGCATAGTTTTATTCAACCACAGACCCAACAGTCGATCATGACAACTAACAATTGGAAAAGACTAATGCTACAAAATTCAAATGAAACTCAAAAAATTACAACCCAAAAGTTGATCATGACAATTAACAATTGGAAAAGACTAATGCTACAAAACTCAAAAAAGTTACAACCCAAATGTATATCCTCCCTTGAATAAGTGAGTCTCATCAATTTTTTCAGTGGAACTCACTCATCTCACACTCATCCAATAGATGATATACATTTGGATTGCAACTTTTAGATTTTATTTGGGTTATATAACATTTTTCTATTGAAAAATGCAGAGAGAGAGAGAGAGATGTGTAAGTTGTATGATTTTAAACTATGTGATTGTGTTTCGACATTATATTTTAGCATTTCACCCCTCAACCATAAAATTAACATTTTTTTTCATTCAATATGTAACGTTGAACAAAATCAAAATTTACTTAATACATAGAAAATGTCAAAATCTGAATAATTAATGATTGAATGTGATCAAATTAATTTAGAGTAAATTAAAATGAAAAAAAAATTAAGGGTTATTTTAAAAATCTAAGGAAAACATAAAATAAAATTAAAATATAATGCTAGGAATATATAGCATAATATTGGATTGGAATTTATGAAAACCTTAACATATTATGGAAAAGCCATATTTTGGGGAAAAAAGGCAATTTTCAAAAATATGAGTAAAATTTCAAATGAGAACCATTTTCAAAGCCATCTTACATGTTTCAAAATCTTCGTTCGGATCTCATAAAATAGTTGTATTGATAAAAGGGTTCTTTGGAGATCGGTTCTTTTTTGTAAACTTATTTGAATTTAACTACACTTAAAAAACTTGTTTGGGGATAAGAACATTTTTTATCTCTATTGTCTAAAATATTAATCATTGCAATAGAGTGAGACCCCCACAACAGAATAAATACTCACATATAATTTTATTGAACATATTACTGTTTGATGTTACTGTTTTTTTTTGTTGAGTGTGTTATTATTTAAGGTTACTATATATATATATAGAATAATAATTTTAATATTAGCATAATTTTCAAGTTATAAATTGTTATATTTGAAAACATTGAAGCTAACAATGACAGACAATATTTATAGTAAGGGTAATTATAGAATACATTTCAAAAAGAATTTGAAATATTTTAAAATGTGTATTTATTGACAAGTATTTGATAAAAAATATGACTTAATAGAATATAAGTTCGGAGGTAGTATTTAAATCCAAATAAGTTCTCAAAAAAGTACGCAGACCAATTTTCCTTTGATAAAAATGTATTTTTGACAAATCTCAAGATTCGTATTTTGACAAAATCAAAACAATTTATGGATTTTTCCTACGATAACTAAACAATGCTCGGTTGCATCCATTATTACTATCAAGCACCAGGAAATCAACAACATTACACTTTGTGGAATCATAATAGAATTGGATTGAGAGGAAGAGAAACTTTCCAATAATATTTGGCTACCCCCGACTCAATACTTTGTATTAATAAAAATATACGGTACATCAAAAAAATTTGTATAAAGAGTCCAATCATGAATTAGAAAAAGAGTAATACTGCAAATACTTAAAAAATAAACTTGATAATCACAACTATTGAATAGGTAGTGAGTCCCTATAAATGTTGGAACCCATAGTGAAATCAATAATTATAATTATCGACTCTTTGAAAAAATATAACAGAATTAGAGAAAAATACATAAAAACCTATAAATCACATGAAGCATTCCAATCCGTTAGAGTAGCAAACAACGATATTCCTTTAAATTCTTTGATTATCGATGCCAAAAAAAAAAGCTAAAAAATAAATCCGGACCCATAATCCTTCTAACTTCTCATTACAATCTTTGAATATTTTTACATTTCTTTTCTTCCAAATAACAAAAAATGTAGCAAAGAACACACAATTCCAGAAAGTAACACATTTATCAAACCTCTCAAAACCTTTCAAATCTTCAATAAAAATGGATACTTATAACTTAGGAATCACCCAACTCATACCTGTCAAATTAAACAACTTATTTCACGAGAATATAGAAATAGGGCAAAGCAAAAATAAATGATCAATATTTTATGAAGCCCTTTTACACATCACACACCATAGTGGAGAAAGACAACTATACCGTCTTATTTTCTAAAATAAATCATTTTTATTAATCTTACCATGTGTCATTGTCCATGTAAACACTTGACACTTTAGAGGAGATTTTGGAGGAGATTGGTGGAAGGATCCCCCAACCCAATAACTCTCTCAACTAGAAAGTCGGGAGATTACTTCTTGTCAAAAACAATGATTAATCTCTCGTGCCTCTTTATTTGAGGTTTTATTTCATCTCTCTTGGCTTCTCTCGTGCTTCATTGCAATAGTGATCAAAGAAATAATTTCTTGCAATCACAAGAGTAATTAGAGCCACAATAACAAACTCATGGTCAGAACTTAAAAAATGTGTTTCTAGAGGTTATGAACAATATAAGTACCTGAATGAAAAAAACTGATACCATGTTTCATTTGAGGCAAATCCTAACACTCCCAAATATTTCAGAACCTCCCAGTAGACATTACTTCCTGGTGTGTCATGGAAACCAAGATAGCTTTCCTGTTCATGGAGAAACCATAGGCAACAAAAGAAGTCTAGAAATTATCATCACATCACCAATGGAAGGAATTCAAATATTCCACCTGATTTACAATGTTTTTTCTACAATCAAACAGCATGAGCAAATTATTTACATTTTTTTATTTAATTTCTGCACTGCCTATCAATCAAAATAAAAACAATAAACATTTACACTCAGATTCAGACATTAGCCAATTAGTTCAACTGGCCACCCCACAAGCTAAGGACCATAACTGCTCTATAAGATGACATTTCAGTTCAAACAATGAATTTCAATTGTGAGTCTATACATGCTATGAAGACTTACATCTATAGAAAAGCCAGGTTAACAAGTTCGACACTGATCAGCACTGGGGTATTATTCTTTTTCGTTCTTTCTTCTAAGAAATTGTATAAACAGAGATACAGACCTATTTTGGAATACCTTACTATCCATTTTGAAGAATCAAGAGGTGCCCCAATCCCTGCCTCTTTGACAAGGCATCAGCAGTACAATTTGCCTGCGTGTGTGCTGGGAGTTACTTCTGTATCTGTAATTCTCTTACCTCTTGGGCGATGGTACATAGATCCAGTTCATGAACATAGCAAAAATTCGAAACATTGGATCCCATCTTAAGTAACACAGCATCCAAAAAATAGCTGGGCTTGGGATTCCTTCTGTGTACAAGGAGTAATCCCAAATCCACAACTCGAGTTAATCACCTTAAACGTGACAATCTCTTCCGCTTCCGGTTCTTTTTACGTGCAGCAGCATTCTTTGTATTACCGTTTGAGCAGGAGGGCAAGGCCAGATGGCACTGTGGCTTACCCACAGATGTTCTGCTTTTCTTAGCAACCCACTTCAGGGGCATATTATTCACTATACTGCCAACGTTGTTTGAACTGTTCAGTTCAACAAGCTTCTGAATTTGATCAAGCATCTGGTGTGTCCAGGCCATTGATAGATCCAATGAAACTGAATCATCCCTTAGTTTTTTCCACATAGTCATTAAGATCTCTCTAAATGACCGAAATGACAAGGAAGGTTCATAGGCTTGAAGTTTTTCACAGATCATATTCACCTTTATGATATGTTTGCAGAGGTTTCCTTGCATCGACCACTCACAATCACAATGAGCAAATTCCGATCCGGGATTCCACACAAGATGTATTTGGTTGCAGTCATTCTGGCTTACAACCCTAGCAAAGAGGTGGTCCTTCTCATCCAAAGTAACAGCAGTATCAGGAATATGCAGGGCCCTATGCCATGACGTAGAAGCAATGTATTCATCCTTAACATTTTGGAAGGAATCACTTTCATCTGCATATCGGTCAAGCCAGTAGCTTGAGTGCAACTCAGTAGTCAACTTGTGCACCAGCCAGTCAACTCTCTGGAGTGCACCAAGGTGTGAGTCATCATATAGTTTGACTTTGAGCTTGACATGATAAGCTTCTATGGCACCAGATGCCTCCTGACTTGCAAGTGGAAGTGTTTTCATTGTTGTAAGCCACATTTCTGTAGGAACAAAAAACAAGAACAAAGTTAGAAACAAAAATTGTAAGCACGCGCACGTGTGAGGTGTGTGTGGGTGACAGAAAGCAACAGAGAGACATCTAACCAATCTTGGGCACCCAAGTGGCCTTGAAGTACTGTACAAAGGCAGTTTGATCAACAAAATCCTGGGTCAATTCTTCTAGAGCAACCACATAATTTACTCCACCCCAAATACTGTACACTACTTCTCCCAGCCGCTTAAATATCTCTCGCTGGACTTCAATGTTACAACATTTCTTGACAATATTCCTCAGCCACGATCGACGAACACGCCAGAGAGAAAATAGGACAGGGCAAGAAAATGTCTCTCTGAAAGGGCAGTAGTACATATAAATGAGTTGTACTGCGTCACAAGGCTAAGGGTAAGTTTAAACAGAAAAATCTAGAGCAAAAGCATCTTGCCTTATGGGATCAATCTCTGCAGCAGCATCATCAACTAAAAACCCATTGACCTTCCATCCAGGGTCAACAGCAATAACACGGCCTAGCAGAGCTTTCATCCAATTTGAAACATCTGGCTTGGCAATGCTACGAGTAATGATCCAAGCAACAGGAAGAGCATGTTGTCTAGAGTCAAACACAAGAAGCGTGCACAAGGGGTACTGCCATTCAAAAAGATTATGAAATAAAAATCATCTCCAGTAGGTTTCATAAGGCCTATGCAAACAAGGATTCATAGATTAAATACCTTCAGTCTCTTTATGCCAAATGTTGAATCAGTTGCTATGAGACTACGATGACCGAAACGAATCATTTGCTGTAACTGCCATTCAGTTTGGATACCCAAAATAAAAGGTTTTGTTTCTGAAGTATCCTGATAAAAGAAAATAGATTTCTTGTTGCGTTCAACCCACATTCGAATGCTAGCTTGATCATCCAGATCCAATTCATGGGTAGAACGTTTGATAATCATCCCCAGTTTTTGGACATACTGAGAAGCAAGGCTGTTGACTTTCGCATTAGAACCACAGTAACGCTGAATTCCTTCAATGTGTTTCTCTAATACATTTTCCTCAGGAATACCAAGGTATATCATAGACATAGTTTGCTGTTGAATCTCACTGCATATGTATGGAATTTTTTTGGCACCAGGTCCAATCGCATCTCTGTCAAGTGGCCCATGGCAGACAAAACCAGATTTGTTTACATGACGCCTATCATTATATATAAGTAGTGCAAGAGATGGGCGGGCATAGAGACGCTTCACTACAAAATGGCATGTACAGCCCCTCATGGATTGAGGTCTTGCAGCACGGTTTCGAGTGTTAAGTCGATATCGTCTGCTTGGTAAAATACCCCCACCTTCTCCGTAGTTTTCAGGACCAAAGGAACACCAGTACCTTCAGAAAGGAAAATAGGAAAGGATAAATCATGTGGCAACTTGATAAGTTACTTGAACAAAGCTGTTGCGAGCTAAATAACAAGCAACATATGATTCACAGTATTCTTTACATGTGAACCTTTTATAGTCTACCCTTTGAACATAAGCATTGACTTTTTAAACCTCAATAGTAACTTAAGTGAAACCCTATTCAGAGTATCACGAATATTTTGCCACTTATAAAATCATGTTCATATCGATAAGAACTTTTAAAATTCGAAAAAGTTGGAATGACAAAAATCAAAAAGAGCAACAAAGTTCAAAACAGTTCCCTAAATGGCTAAATATAATCAAAAGATTGGACAAAATAGACTACCTAATTGGTGTAAATATTTTTTTTTTGTGGATAAGTCATATTTGCTGTAAACAATTAACTCTCCTCAAGTAACATTTACATGGCAGGGGAACCTCATTTCCCTGATATAAAGGAGGAGCAAGAAGGATATGAAAGACTAAGCAAACCGAAAAACTTACAGCCTGTATTCCAGATATTCATCATTCTTGTATTCTTTTAAACTGCCCTTTGATCGTTTCCTTCCCCTCTCAATATGGAACCGTGTTGGGCATTCTATTTTAGAACACTCTCCAATTATAAATGCATCAACTCGGGCATAAGGAATAAGGGCTACATCATCATGACGCTCTGCACTTCCAAATTTGGTCCAATTCAAATCAGCAGAAGAGAACTCCTCCTCAGATGGATTTTGCACAGGTATATTGACGATAGATTCAATGATATCCATATGTTGTAAAACAGCTATCAGAGTATCTGCTAATTGGTAGAATTCTTGATCCAGCCACACATTCACCACCACTAACTGCTTCATGTTGCAAAGATCAGTTGAAGAACATATATAAGTCATAAATTGAAAATTAGTAACCAATCATATTGTCTGATTATTATCAGGTCTAAGACTCATGAAATTTGCCATATATTTCATATCAGAACCACCAGGAGAAATGACTTATGGATGTAAAGTAGAACAATCATTATTTGGTCAGGCAAAGAGAAGTAAAATGGTGAGGGAAGTATCATGCTCAGCAATCATACATTTACGGAAGAGATAATAGAAGACCAAGAAAATTTTGGAATTGTAGCCCTATTCATTTAGCATCCATTCTAACTTGTTCATATCCCCCTAAAAACTATGTGACAGATCAAGCACGTTTAACTGACAGTAATTACAGAACCAAATATTTTAACAATATCATGTCATAAACCTGGTGGGAGCTAGTCCTCAAATTTTCTTCTCTTTGAACAAGTATTTCCTGTGTCCCAAGTCTCGCTTTGAATTTAGATGTATGACCCACTCATTGGTGCTCAAATTGATATCAGTAACTTGAGCCTATTTAGCAGCTTCATATAAAAATGCAGTAATGTTCATTTCCTTGGAGTTTCTAGGGCTTTAGGAAAGGAAACTAAGTCCTCGTTTCCTATTCGAGAGAGTTGTAAATGTGTATGAGGCACATATGGATTTTTTAGGGTTGTATGATGCCTACAAATAGCTCTATAGATACAAAATGAGACCAGCCTCAAAGAGATGGAAAAAAAATTCGCAATTAAATCAAGCACTTAACTTGTGATCCCTTTCCTTCGCACCGCCTCTTGTCTTTCTCATCTTTGTCTCATTTCTTTTATTTTCCTCACACAAAACCTCGTCAAAGTCCTCTCCTCTCCCTCAGTCTTTTCACTCTTCAACACTTCCTCTGCTTTATCCTGTTTCCATATCTCTTAAATTCCTCTTTTCTTATTACAATTTTTATTGTATTAAAAGGACACGGTAGGAAATTACATAGACAGACTTGAAGGGAGGAAAATAATAGGATAATGTGGAGATCTTCTCGATCTCCAAGCACCATAAAAATTCAAGGCTCTGCAACAAGATGAGAATGGTGTATCTAAAAAGGTGGTCTTCAGATTGACAAAAGTTCATAAGCGGTAATTCATAACCAATTGTTTGAGGAATAGGAGGAAATTTAAGGAATTATTGTGCACCTTTTTTGTTTTGTATGTTCTAAATTTCTAATGGTTTTAGGAAGAAAATACAAAATATAGATCATACCAGACCAATATAGATTAGAACAAAGTTTTGTGCCATTCTTCTTGGGTTGTTGAGTTTTGTAATCACTTTCCTTTTTTAATTTTCTTCTATCTTATGTTTACAAATCACCAGAATCTTGAAGACAAAATCGCAACACATTCAATCCATTTTTTTAAAAAAAGGAAGAAAGATTATTTACGTACTACTAAATTACAAACAATATAATTTCAATCAGCTATTTACCTAACATCCAACAAAATCTTACACAAACACAAAAGTACGCACACACAAATAAGTAAAACAAAAATAAAAGAAAGACGAGAAAAGCAAAACACTATAACTATACCATTTCAATTTTCTCATCTTATTTATTGAAGGCTAATTTTTTCCATAGACAATGCCTCTAGCACCTCATCTCATGATTTGGTTCTGTTTAGGACTCCCTTGCCATGGTATTCGTGGTCAACACCATATCACTACTTCCTAGTGCAAATTTGGTCTACGGTGCATATGCCAGACCTGCCTTAGACCAACCAAAATTACATTCCAGCTGCTCATCAGTAACTAATTTTTTTGCATAAAAACACCCAAATCTTACTTATGACACCCTCTCTAGTGTTACAAGCACAAGAACGTTGTAGACGAACACTTATCAATAC